TTTGCCAAGAAAATACATCGAAAGTTCTGCTGAACACTTGACAAACTGACCACAAATCGCCTATCAAAATCGCAAAATCGTGCAATCAGCGTCGGATAGAAAGGATTGAAGTTCTTTTCTTTCAGAAACATCATGATCAACACATAGATGATTTCTCGCTCCTGTTGACCTTTAAGAGAAAGGCGAAGGAGGCGCTCAAACGCAGCATCTTCATCGTCAGACGTAGCTGTAAATCAAAAAAAAAAAATCTTTTGACGTTTTACTAAGGCGACAATCATTAGTTTCAGAAAATGTAAAACGTACATGCACAGCATTAGCAAAATTGGATTACTACATCTCATAAAAAACTCACCGACAGTACAGAAAATGTTTCGACGAACATCCGTATTCATTTTTGCCTTTCGAGCCAGCTGGACTATTTCCTCGGGGAAAGAACTAGCGATCTGAGTCGAAGTCCCAACCTTGTCGTCTATGGTGCAGCCATCTTCCGCTACTTGATAAGCGGATCCAACGACCCACCTGAATGTACGCAAGGTTTTTATAATTACACCACTAAAAAGGAACACTGAGTACACATTCTGTCACAAACTTAAGCCGATTGACAGTAGAGTGTGGTCTATTTGTCATGTTGAGATGGGTGATACTTTCGAGCAGCCCAGGAATAAAACATGACTACGTTCTTTCATGATGATTCGAAACATGATTCGAAACAATCACAGCACTTCGTCCTAACTCTAAAGCCGACCCTCTACTTGTAGCAGTCATAGAAACCTGGTTAGAAACTAATATGATCAACAAGGATTATCAGCACTTGATAAATGGTGCCCTTATGGACAAAGAGCATACATCAGTCGAGAGTCTGATTCGAGTTTCTTCACGTGTTTCTTAAGGGCATGTAATAAATCAAATTAAATCAGTCAGCGCACTAACTTGTTACTGAAGACATCCAATAAAAAAAAAGGTCGTATAACATCCAGAGTATAAAGAACAGATATCAAAATAAACGAAAAACCACCTACCATCGACCTCGCTCATCAGCATTGAGAAGATCATCCAACGACATTCCCAATTCTTTATCGCAAACCAAATTGCTTTCTAAAATAGATGTGAAAAAACAGATGTACACAGATGTTATGCTAAGTAAAGCCCACTTTTCCTCATCCCATAAAATAGCTTCAAGTGGTGCTCAATGACGGACGGGTCAAAGTTTGTTGGTGGACTTTTCTGGAGGGCTAGTAACGTCTCACCAAGAAACTTGGCTCTGGGCCTGAACGTAGGAATTATTAAAAACTTAAATAGTTGTACATTGTCATTCACCACTCACAACACAGAGAACGCGGCCGTTTCTAAAGCTTTCGCTATTTTTGACAATTCCTCCAAAAAAGGAGCCCAAAGCAGCTTCCGCAGGGCTTTGTATGAGTCTGTAAGAGGTTACCGATCAAAATTAAATTAATTGTAAGTATGCATCAAATTGCAGATTGCATGTAAGGAATAAAACAAAAAAAAAACAAGGATGAAGGAAATTAAAATATAAACTCGCAGGTCGCCAGTACAACCACCAACTGCAAATTGTCTACATTCAGTTGTTCTCGCAACTTCTCGAATATCTCGATTATGACCGCCGCTTTGATTATCTGCAAGAAAACTACTCAACAAAGCCAAAAATATCTTCTATGTCTATTCCCGCTAAATTTCGCTCTCTCTGGAGAGAGCAACTAAATCGAAAAAAATGTGAAAAGTCATGTGAACCTAAGCATACATGGAAAAATTACACAAGAAGTGAAACTGCACAGAGCATATCGCTCAGATGGAGAAACAGCTTCACCCATACTTTTGAAAACACAGAAATTCGGAAGCACAGAAAATTCGGAAAATCGCTAGATCACCGTTCCCCATATTTCTTTTGTTTTCTGGCCCGCAACGCGTAAGCTATGCTTTCAAAGAACAGAAAAATCTTAGAGGCCAAAAGAATAGAGGTCTGACAAGGTCACTTGTGAACGGAATTCAAGTTAGCAATTACTTCCGCTCACGGGCCACTTACCATTGAATCACACTTCGTGAAAAACAATTCGCAGATTTAAATTACGAGAAGGAGTGTGGGAAAATGCATTACATTGGAGCAGGCACAATTAGGGACGGTGAACATAACTACCAGCAGGGTGGCATCTATCGAGAAACGCACCTCACAGGCAGCACGCTTAACACCGTATTAGATGTGTTCATAGTTAGAAAGTATGAAATCTGCGACCCAGACCAGGGACTAAATATTGGCTGTCTCTGCCGTTCAGAGTGAAGTCTGTCCGTGACTCCATGATTGCAGATCGGGAGCGATGAGTATTCAGCGAATTTCACTATTATGCAATGAACAATAAGTTTCAAGATCTCATATAAACAAGGATACCGTAGCACGCAATGCGGACGCGTACAAAGGATAAATTAAGATTAAATTCAATTTATAATCCTCGACAGGAAAAAAGAATGCGACCATTAAGGAGGCAGCCTCTACCCCTCACAAATATGTCTCACAAATGTGACAACTGTGCTGAACTGTTTAACTCACATGAAAATTCAGCAAATGTGCTATAAAAACAGCACTGTTCTCCAATTTCTTGTCGTCTTGAGCTTGAGCCTGAGAAATTTGCTCGACAAACTCACGCAGAAATACTTCGACGAAGTAAGCGGCTAAACGTTGTTCATTACTCAATTGGAAAAGCATTTTTCAATGAAAACGGCAGTAACACTCACAAATTTCTTCACTGACGAACGAATGGATCTGGGCGAGGAACATTGCGTATAATGATAGCAGCTGATCTTGCAGCCGGTATGGAGCACAAACCAGTCTTGAGAGGGCACGAGTCATGCACGACTTTACATCTGAGAAATAATACGGTAACAAAGAAAAATAAGGATTATGGATAGCCAGTAATGATAAGGAGCTACACACCATTCTTCGAGCTGTTCTGCCAGACCTCAGCGACAGCTTGACAGCTTTTTACCAGAGTACCTTCCGACAACCTGGAACAGTTCTCCTAGGAAGTACCTCAAAGTAATAAGAAAATTGGAAAAACCTGTTGAGAGTTCCCATCAATATCCTATCGATTTTCATTTTGGACTCGCTGTCGCCTGCTTTGGCATCCAGATCTTCCAGTTTCTTGTGAGCTCCTCTTATATCGAATCTGACCACTTTGCCAGTTTTTCTGAAATTTATTGACTATGCTATTGAATCAAGGTAGCTTGATCTTGAAACACTAACTTGTTAATCGTACGACCATAAATATCTTCCTTGTAGTCATCCTCACTACCAATCTTGCTGTCATTTTCCTGAAAAATTTTATTCGTCTCCGAAATACTAAAAAACTTGCAGGAGCTCTCATTCAGAAAGATTGGAATGATTGGACCTAAACACAGTAAATACATAACCAGAGATCAGCTACGTTAATACGAATGAGTAGCTAATAAAAAGATTAAGATCATTCGAGATAAAAAGGAGGACATTCTCCAAAATCAACGAATAAAAACTAAACTGATGTTGACATACACTACCTCGATACTTTCTTCGTCACTGCTACGGGTACGTTCTTCATCTTGCTCGACTCCATCATGGAGGCTCTCATCTTCTGAGGAACTTCCTTCGCCAGAAACGTCATCCGCATCATCTTCGTCTTCGCTTTGTTCCTCGTCGACTAGATCGTCTCCTGAGGTAGAAAAGTTCAAGGGTGTCCGAGCCTGGTGAATCTCGGCCTCTTCACTATTTCTTGTTCATGTATACACAACTCTATTAGCCAGCAAGAAAAAGTAAAGCTATAGCAGAAGAATTACAGAAGAAAGGAAGGATGGAGAACCTTTCAAAGCTATTTCCTGATCTGTTGATGTAGCCAGAATCCGTTTACGAGAATCACTGTCACAAAAGTCGAGCAAATCTGTGATAGACGAGAACGTTCAACAAATAGCATTGTGAAGTACAACTGGCATGACATAGTAAAAACAACAAGCGAAGGGACCGATAGCAAAAAGACTTGAACTTACAATCTAGGCCATCATTCGTGAAGGCCTTAGGCTTCTTGGATGTCTTTCCTTCTTTGATTCCGAGAAGCTTTGAATACCTATGAATGTCGATATCATCCTGCCTCTCATCATCACCTTCAATCGCTATTTTTCGCTTCTTATCCTAAAAAAGTATTTCAAAACTGTATATGTGAAAATGAAATGATGTTAGCTTTCAGCCTATTCAAAAATGAACCTTTTCATGAGTCGCAAAAGATTTCTCAGAGCAAATTATGAGTTGCGGTTGGGTGGGTAACCTTNCCCCCCCCCAGGTCAGATCTATTTAATCGAACGTTCGATCCCAGCCCGTAATAGAACCACAAACGATTTTATGCCTATCAAAGAAAGTAACACATACCAAGTTGCTTATTCGCTCAATTTTTCGCTTTGATTTCGAACGAGAAAGGCCAAATTAGTTAGCGAGACATCCTCTAAGAATATCAGAAATGACGGTAAAAAGTCAAGCAAAACTGAAACTTTCAAAACACTACTTCAGAAATCTCCGTTGAATAATATACAAAAAATTAAGTATAGAAAAAATCGACAAGCAGACAAAAATGATTGAAAAATTAAACAAAGAATGAAGACAGAAGAAACTACTATACTAAAGCTAACCTGTACTTCCTGGAGATACTGTTCGTAAGTGAGTTCCGCATCCGAATCATCTGATTCAGATGAAACTCGGTCACGTTTGCCACGTCGTTTTAGTGGCGAATCTACTTGTTCCCGCTGTTCGCTTTCAACCATCGCAGCTTCAATTTTTCGAAGTTTTCTTTTTTGCTTTTTACTCATATTCTTGCTTTTGAACGCTTCCTCCATTACTTTTTCGATCTAGAACGAACCATAAATAAGTTCAATGCAAGTCTTCGAGCCTCTAGAATAACTCCCACTGTTACAAACCGTTTTCGGAATTCCCTATCGCATGCCTGCACCCAACCTTACTTCGTTTTAAATCCTATGTAATGTGATGTTTCATATAAACCACTAAACCAAAGAGCCTAAGCCTGCTTAAAACTAGTGTGGTCTCAAAGATTTTCATTACTGATTAAAATTGATTGTTTCAAAGCAAAATGTAGAAACTGACGGGCTGATGACGAGCACACGCCACACTTTGTAGCTTTCTTAAACGCTTTGCTTTCTTCCTGTCCTGTTTCCTCGATGAAAAGCTCGTCCCGTCCTTGTCGGACTTCACCACAGCCATCCACTTTTTCAAACCCATGACTGCTTACAGACTGCTGTAACAACAAAAAAGAAATTCAATACAGTATCAAAAAATCAGTTTCAAGACTTAGCATTGAATGTAAGTGGGATTTAATGTCGTTTCGCTTGATATTTCAGGTGCTTGCACTGCGCTTTCCTATGTTTGCAACTGCTGATGAGCAGAGCGGAAGCACTTCAAAGAAATAGTACAAGTTGAGGCGGCCAGAAAACCTAGCCGCACCCAAAAAAGATGTACATATATCCAGAGCGGTCATGCAGATTCTCGACGCTCTCTCCGAAGTGATCCATCAGACTACATATCAATTCTGCCAAACTTCTGCCACTTTTCCAAGTCGACAAGTTTCTAGCAAAAGTCGGAGAAAAAGTCGAAAGTTGATTCTGCCACTAGAACAACTGATCCGGACGAATTTTATAGCCAGCCATCTTCCCATCCGTAAACTTCGACAATTGCTACCAGCTACTGCTGCTCTACGAAGTGATGATACAGTATGTCGACCCATTTAGGCTAACATTACCGAAAAACATTAGTACTTGTTCAAATAGTACGAATGGAAGCTATACCTCCACATGCTATTTATTCCGAGTTAATTACTTTCCTGATTCTGACGATTCGCTGTACTATTCTCGCTCGCGACAGGGGCAAATGGAGGCGTTACTAGCGCCCACTCGAAGAAATCAATGACTAGTGGAACGACTGACTTTCTTGAAGTTTCCGTTTCCCAATGTCAATGAGAAACCAGGAGACAGCAGCTGGCAGCTGTCCAGAAACTTGAGTGTCCATCAGATCGACCGATTAGGAGCTTTTTTATTTTTTNTTTTTTCATACTCAAGACTACGGCAATCACAAATGAATTCGTGAAATGGCAGGTGTATAATGACGTGGCTCATCCAGAGCTTATAAAAGGGACCTTCGATTTGAATGAGTACCCAGTCAGACAAAAATGAGTTGTTCGTCTTTTGGTGATGAAGCGCCGAAATTTACTAGCGTATGGGAAGTGGAAGCTGCTGGACGAACGAAGATAATGGAAGCAAAGGCACGTCGCTTGAAGCGTATTCAAGAAGCAAAATATCTGGCACAAGTCGAAATAGATCAGTTCAGAGAGGTTAGTCGAATGAGAGAATTCATTCTGAAACTGGATAGAAACTTAGTTACCTCCCAGTTGAAGGCAGAAATTTGCCTCTAAGCTCGTTCTCGATCCGACTCTGATATTGTGCTGCTTTCCGTTCATGGCCACAGTTACCCAATGTACACCAGAGATATAACTACAATATGGTGAAGTCTCTCGAATAGTCAGTTTAAGATTGGTCACAGCTTCCATCCATCGTTTATACTCGATCATTAGGATGTGTAGGATTTTCACCGTATGAAACCTACTATGCAAGCATTTTGAAGAAAAAACCGAGCAAAATGATGGGCTTAGTAGAAGGGAACGATTCAGCAAAGGTACAATGAAATGAACACGAAGCTAAAACACTTTTAAAAAACGCATTCGGTCCGGCAGGAGGCAAAGTATTTAGTGATATTCATTCACCGCGCAGTGTGGACTGATGCGTTGCGAGGGAGTGTCGCGTTTGGCAGCAAACGCGAAGTCTGAAGACAGCCAATAAGGGCTATCTAATGCTGCTGCGTTACGAATGGAAGAACTGATTTAAGGTTTTGTGAAAACGAGGTGCGACTGAAAAAAAAACTGCATAACGCGTGACTAAAAACAGCATAAGCTTTGACTAAGGAGCATAATGTACGTCATTCGGGGCGAAAGTGGTATTAGTGAGAAGTGGTGCACTGTTAAACATGCATCGAATGCATTCCGGATCGATACTAGCCCAGGCCAACTAAGTTTTCTATCCCTATTGGTTTATCGCTGGCAGATTTGCCATAAAAGCGTTGAATTGTGCATAGGCTGGCCTTCGCATGTCATACTTTCGGCCGAATCCGCATTCAACGCCTCACTACGATTCCGAATGGAAATCGAACGCAGGCCATCCCGAATCAAATAACCTTGAAAGACTTTCTTCTTAATCCGTTCATGACAGATTCAGGAAAAGGAGGCGGAGTTTCAAGAAAAATTTGAATCGCTGGCACAGATCATTGAGGACAAAATAATGGAAGCACGCGATCAAACTAAACGTGAACTCGAATATATGGAAAAAAGAGTGAAGTTAGTCAAGCCATTGGTGAGTTACTCTACAAAATTTAATTTGGAAGAAAGGATGGGACGAGCTGTCCCTGGAAAAGTACAGCATGCGCCACGCGTTCGACGACAGCAGGTAATTGTAGAGGCTTGAATATCCGAGCTGCCTTGGTTAGAGTCCATTGAAGCTGAAGGCAGTTTCAAGACGAAAATCTAGTTGAAAAGGCTGGATTGAAATCCTAGCGGGAAGTCGCGATGAGGGTATTGCTCCACTAAGTGAGTACCACTATCCGAATTCCGGTGGGAAAACGATGAACTCAAAGTTTCGTATCCCGAATTCATAAAAACTTCCAAATGTCAAAGTCGAGGTAGTGGTGCTGAACACTGAGTTACTGAGAAGCAGCTCAACACCCATCCATCAGGGACTTTCCGCTCCATACGGAACAAAACGTGAACGTGAAGCATAAACTTCGTAAGCTTAACCGCAGGTCCTTGTGTGTGGTGTCAACGTACGGTCGCTATCAGAATCTTTATGCAGTTTGATTAGCTTCCAGCTCAGCCATTATCGCCATAACCACTTCACCGAAAATGAAAGCTGAATATGTTGACGTCTAACTTATTATTTGAGCGTAACTAGTGAGGCTAGACGTACCCCAGCCCAGACTTTTCAGGAAAACAAAGTCTTATGGATCTAATACTCAACGAAAATTTACAGGTAATCGAACTACTCGAAAAGCTGACTACTGGTGCCAAATACTGTGTTCATCGTAACGTCGACACACGTAGGTGGGTTCGTGGATTTGACAAACGTACAAAAATGCCACAAGATCGAAGAATATGCGATAAGGTGGGTACCTCATGAAACCAACGTATGAATCAATAAACTTGATAATTTATTCTGTTCTTTAGGCCACATGGGAACTTATTCAACGATATGCGTCTAACTGTGAAAAATTGGCATCGCAAATAGTTATTGGAAAACGTNAACAATACTATTAAACATTAAATGTTGTTTTAGCAATGAACTTTTTTAATTAAACACTCTAAACAAAACCATTTTCAACATGAAAAGGTATCCAATGATATATACAACTACTCAAACTCAAATAAAAACAATCTATTTCCCTAAGCTTTTCACCATTTTTGCTAGTTTGGCTAAGCTATACATAACACTTCGAGAGAAGCCGGCTGAAGCAGCATTTTTGAGGGTTTGTGATATTGCTGCAGGAGCCACTATGGACGAAATCGCTCCCTCGACATGTAGAGTGACATCGTGACGGTGAGCTAAGGAGAATAACACCTAAACAGATAATAATGAAGTAATAGTTGAGAACGCTATACCTGCCTTTAGATATGACCATGACCAACTTTCGATGAATTTTTACATAATATATGTATCGATGTGTAGGTGTTCGTGCGAAGTCTCAGTCAAGATGTTGTGGAAATCTTGGCTAAGGCTTCACAGAACACTTACACAACAACTACACCTTTTTTAGTACAAAACCCTTTCCAAACAACCATATTACCACGTGAATTCGCAACCATGCTGTATAGTACTGCGCACAGTAAAATCCTCTATCAGTGTCGACAATGCATATCGACCTAACAACGACCTAGCGACCGATTTCACTTTAGGACTTGCAGAGGGCTCCCAAACCTTCAGCATGAACAAAGGGTTATTGTAAGTCCTGTAAAGTTCCGCTTTTAGCCAGGTGAGCGAAACTATTAAGTTTTGGATAAAAAGAGATTACGAGTTTACAGTGTTTACGCAGAACAAAAAATACACGCACGGTGGATTCGGAGCGCGATAATGTAAGCTATGAACATATCGATAGCTGGATGCGATAATCAACGAAATATTAAGTAAAAATGGCATATATCGTAAAATTGATTCCATCTTGATTGAAACTTTTGAGAATTGAGAATTTTGCAGAAGAAAAGATTGGATACTTGTTGATTCTACCAGGAAATAAATTCCACGTTAATTCTCTTTATTCTTATAGCAGATAGCAGAGCTTATAGCAGTATTTGAATGCCTTGGCCCGCCTAAGCACCAATAAACCAAACCGATATATGATTCATGAGTTCGTAATTTCAATCAAACTCGTCTAACAATAAGTGTTACGCGTTGGGCAGCACAACGCTCGTGATCAGGCTCCTTCCTTAGGTCGATATCCAAGTTGTGAGGTTGTATGAATATGTCTTAAAGGACTTCCAAACTCGCTGCCAGAGGGACACAACATCGAAATGCAAAAAGAAGTCACAATAATAACAATAATAAGGAAATAGCAAAATGCCACAGTATAAATCACCTCTTCCCTATCTTTCTGCCATTTATTCCTTTTATTCCAGTTTGTCTGAATCCTTTCTAGTACAGTCGATGGTAGAAGGTTCAAGCGATGATAAATAGCTGCTGTAGAGCCATCTTGTAGTACCTGAATAGAAATTATAAAGAAATAAACAAACTATTCAAAAATGCATGAAGGTGCATGTTTCAGGAAGTAAGTGATACAAAGTGACTCTCCTGCTCTGGAAACTCTGAGTCTCTACGTTTCAAAAATGACACCTTAGAAACGTGTCAGAAAGAGAAGATAATTTTTATGAAAAGCCACGAACTTATAAAATAAAAACAGTGCCAGATTCAACTATCGATCATTTTTGCATGTTTGTCCCGACTTCTATAAATTTTTCTTAATTGACTGTACAGATGACCATGGGTTTTATATTTGCACCCTTTTTATTTTCGAAAAAAAGGCAAATTGTTGATCAAGACACTCTACTAGCATGGGAAACGACAATAAAAACTTACACTCCCGTTTTGTACAACAAGCCTTGAGTCGCTAGCAAGGAGGGGATCATAAACTTCGGACAAATATTCCATGCAGCCGAGCACGATCTTCTTAATCTTAAAGGAAAAAAAANAAAAAAAACAATTCACCATATGTATTCCCAAAAGAAGTCAATGGGAACACAAATCCGCAACACCGTTTTGAAGTAGTAATGTACCTTATCTTTATCTTCGCCGACGTACATTCGAAAATCTCCCGTATACGACAATGAGACAATTTTCTGATACAGTTTCTCCAAGTCGAACGAATCAGGAAGCAAGAGTAACGCTGCTTGAAGAGCACATCGTCGGTTTTCCTCGACGTTGCTTGCGATTGCTGCCGTTGGTCTCACCACCAAAAAACATAGCTATCAGAAACATGGAGGGAAACTCGAAAAAACCCTTTTCTCGTTTGACTTATAACATGCTGGGAAAAGGAAAACTTAGGAAAAATTCCATACAAATATATACATACATATAATGTGCTAATTTCTTCAATTCTCAAATAAAAAAAATTGGACGGACAAAAGAGAGGTGACAGCGCTGCAGCTGAGAAACGCCTGGGCCGTAAAAATGTTGCTCTGGAGTACCTGTGGGGTCCAATCCTTCGTGTTCAGCAAATTAGATTATGCAGAGGCTGCTATAGCAATTATGAACTAACTGCTAAGTGCTCTCCTAGAGGGAAATGATTCATACTAACGTTTTCATTCGCTTTCTGATCATAAATGGAGGGTGATGTAAAGAAGCTAAGCATGGTCCAAAGGTCTATCTTTATCTTCGACCAGTTCGACGGTACCGGATTACGGTGAAAAAACAAACTATTTCGTGGGTGAGCTAGGGTTAAATTAATGAAATATAGATCGCTAGAAAGCTTTCAGGAATGCCAACATCTCCCGAATAGTTCGTGATTGATAAAGATAATTGAAAAGGCGAAAAAGACACTCACATCCAGCACTGGCTTATGAAGACGACCAGCGACGTAGAGCCATCGCCAGTCTAGGAGATCCCGATTAAGATCCTCCGTAGATATGACTCCGTACTTTATCCGCCGATCTCCAACATGAACGTGAGTATTGTAGTAAACATGAGCAGCTATACGAGTTTGAAATTGAGCCAAGGTATTTGCACCTATACACCTTAAAGCAGTACGTAAACTTTAAAAAGGTTAACAATGAAGAAATAGGAAACTCTGCGCGTACCTTAGCAAGCTGTAATGGGAAGAATTCTTTTTAATGTTTTCCTTGTGAAAGCTGACAGGATCACTCGTGCACAGAACAAAGTCAATCATTTTCTCGCTTTTATTTTCGCCTTTTTGTTGAAGAGCACCAGATCCATAAGCGAACGCATATTCAACGGTAGACAATGGGAGGACACTGATAAGGTCCTCATACTCCTTTGTGGACATCCACCTAAAAGTTTTTCTAAAACGACAAAATGAACTGCAAGAAAAATAGGAAAGAGGGATTTTTTGGCAAATATTTTCCCGATGTTATTGATTCCATTTGAAAGAACTGCAACGTTAAAGAACACAAAATAGTACTGCAATCAATTTTATTAGGACATAAATATATAGAGGAAAGACTCTGCTCATAAAAGTAGAAGATACAAAAAAACCCTGAAAATGAAGCAGAGAGGTTTCTAGCTCAAGACTTGCTATTTATACACACACTAGTGGTGCTTGAATATCCCCATCGTAGGCTGAATGGTTTCCTTATTATGGAACCAGTGATGAAACCGAAAAGAAGTTCTGATTAAAAAAAACGCGACCGGATGCTGGATTTAAAAGAGTAACTGCCGTGAGTCGAATTGCATAAGCTGCAGTTGCACGTCCAACATTCGATCCGACGACGGTGCTCGAAAGCAAGTTGCCTTGCCGGGCGGGAAGAGTACCGTGATGAGCTGGGTACTACATCGGCCTGTGTCACAGCTGACTATTTAGTCACTCATATCGAATGTAGCTTTTCAAATGAGTAATATCTGGTATAAAGCAATGCCAAGGGCACAGTACCCAGATGATTTCTCATTTTTCAAAGGGAAATCAGACCTATAGTTGGATCAGATAGTACCAAAGGTAGCTCCATACGAATACTCTCTAACACAGCCTGGAAAAAAATCAGTCAATAAGCAAACACATCAGACTCGCCAATCGGCAAACTTACTAACTAGGCCTACAAAACAAGGAAATGTTCGAAATTAGATAATTAGCTAATTCTTAGTAAAAAACGATGAATTGGCGGTCGAAGTCTCATAGCGTTGTACACCGGACCTTACGATTGGTGCCGAAAACGTCATTCCTGAGTAATAGTTGCCCGCTTACTACAAGCCACGGCGGGACAAGTTACAATGATAATTCCTTGCCGAGATGGGCCACGCTTTTGACTTTTGTTCAGAGTTGTGGTGCCATTTTTAGCCTGTCCAATGATTTGCTGAAGGGTTCCAAAGAGTGAATTCAATATTTTGTGCTCCCAAGCCGATTTATCACTTACTACCACATTACAGAGCAAGAAGATCACTCAGGGTAGCGATCCGTGGATTCTTCAGGAGGAATCTCTGAACGAGACGGTCAATTTGGAGCCTTGGGTTGTTGGAACACATCCATCTGATTGTGAGAAGCTCCCTAGGCCCGAGAGTATTAGCATCATTAACTGTAGGGCACTGAAACATTTGCACAGATGGAACGAATCCCCGGACCGTGTACTTGGTTCCAGCTCCCTTTTCATTCAAGGAAAATCACCATCGACTTCAATTCCCTCACTGCCCATCTCAGAATCGGTCAACACTGAAGTCCAAGGATTTTGGTCTTTCATTGTTTGCTCTCCTATGGGCTGATTGAGGTGGGTGATAGTGCGAGTCGGTGACAGTGAGTGGCCAAGAAGATTGGCAGGCCGTGGCGATAACATGTGATAAGCAGCGAGTCGAGAAAACAACAGGCAGACCCCTTCAGTGACCCCTCGCAGTGTTCAAAGTCTCGTCCTTCCAGCCAGCATGCGCTATCTGCTCCTTCTAGTCTGCCTAGTCTTCATAGCCGAAGCGGCTAACAACAGGTAAAAAGCACATTTGATATAAAAAGCTACAATTAGGGGACTATAGGATTCAAGGAGCTCCAGATTATTGTCAATATAGTCTGTTGCCTTTGTTACTCAACATTCAAATTCCAAACTGTGGAGTGAAAAGATTTTCTCAAAAAGCTTTCCAAAAGTGCTTCCTGTGAGCCCACAGCATCCTAAAGTTTTCCATTCATGGAAAAGAACAAATCATAAGATCCTCTTTTATCTCAGGTACAATCTACGAGGATGCTACAGGAAGTCAGGAAGGTTATACGAACACAAGTATGTTATTGATTTTTATGAAAGTTGTTTTGAAATGAATTTCGAGTCGTGCTCCCGCGCAGCGCAGTGCTGCAACCGCACGCGTCGTACATCTTCTATTTCATAGATTCACTGGGAATCGGTGCGAAAATGAAATTAGAATCATATCCAGGCATCGTCCCCGAGTCTATGAACATCGTGATTATGACTTTGATAGCCTTCCAATGGCATGGGATTGGCGAAACGTGGATGGAGTTAACTACGCCTCCGTGGATCGTAACCAACACATTCCACAATGTAAGTAGCAATAATGAATTTAACAACAGCTACTTATTACCTTTGTAAACAACCGCGGAGAATCCTGTCAAAATGATGGACACTGATCGGTTTTCTAAGCCCGCCTGCCACTCAACTTGAGCAGTTCTTGCACTTCACAATGATCCAAAGCTTCTAAGACTCATCAAATAACATTTCTGTTGAACATTAGCAATGAACAATATCAATTATACTTATTAGTGGAATACCGGTTCCTTTTTCTTCACATCTCCCCTTTGCCGCTTTCTTACAACCAAAATGGTCGCTTTTGCCCTACCCTTCCCCCAACTTAACAAGAATCTCCCAATCGAAAAATGGCTACTTAATCAATCCAATTGCATAGAACTATAATATGTATTTTCAGACTGCGGCTCCTGCTGGGCGTTCGGTTCGTTTGTTTCGATGATTCGTTCTTATCAGCATGTGTTATCAGTGCACCTGATGGTCAAGAAAATTGTCATCCCATTTAGTTTCCCTTGTAATCTCGAAATAAGCTGTAAAAAACTACTAAGTATGGGAGAAACCAGGATTCGAGAGTTTTTAATGTCCAAGCACTTTATATCACTCACTTCATGGAAGAAAAATCGGAAGTTGTAGCCAAATAAACTTTACCGATACGGTTAGCCCGGTGACTGATCAACTGGTTCCCCTCAATTTGAAGACTCATGAAATGGGAATTAATTGCAACTACGTTTTCCTCAAATTTGATGGAAATTTCACTTCTCCACGGAACCAATTATTCTAATCGTTGTTATTAGGCGGCCAAGCCCTCCCCCTCCCCTATTCATATGACGTCTTCATAAATTCTGGAAATTCCTCGAATTCTGGAAAGATCAGCTGCACTAGTCATGAAATTAAGGAACATTCCAGAGATTCCCAGAGATTACAATTTCCTTAGTGATTTTTTTTTCGTGGTAGAAATTTAATCCCATTAAAATTGAGTTCATTTGATTCAAGGAGCA